ACGTAATCTGCTTTAGCAAAAGCAAGAAGTCTAGATCACCGACAATAATGTAAACTTTAACCGTCAACAATGATGAAAGAAAGGATTTTAAGGAGAGCTACAAAAAGCATCCTATAAGCTGTAACAGGTATTGGGCATTTGAATACCCAAATACCTTACTTGAGTGCCTTCTACCATGTATTTGTAAACCATCCTTCAAGAGGAAAGGGAACTTTCCCTTTCTCATCTCAAAAATAAAATCATGTCTTAAAATAATCCTTGTGCTTCTATCCTTCCTAATTTCCATAATAGAAAATGATGAGAAGAATTTCTGAAGATACTTAGACAGTAGTGAGGTCACTAGTCCTGTTTGAATACTTGTGTAGCCAGAATGTGGCTTTGAAGGTTGAACGAAGGAGGCATCAACTTTACCAAAGGCTAGACTAAGAAATTTTCAAGTATGATTCTAACTCATTTTTTTTTATCATGCGGAAGTTAGGTGGGCATAGAAACATTCTTATTATTTTTTGACATAATTATTTTTGAGATTAGAAATAATAGGGAAATAGTACCAAACCTCTTATATTTTAAATAGAAAAGTTTGCATTAAGAACTTATTTGCATTGCTTTAAGATGCTTAATTTCATTCAAGAAATAATTGTAGATAAAATAGTTTATGAGCAGCAATGCAAATATTATAGAAATAAAATAGTGAATATTTTAGAAAAAATAAGTAATGTTGAAGATATAGATGATTATTATCTCTTCAAGAATCTCAAAAAAGTTAAAGCAAACAGGTGTAGATTTAAACGAATATTTAAAAAGACTTAAAAAAGCTAAACAAAAACTATTTCTACTAGCAATTTAATACATCTACTGAACTTAATATACCAGCTGCACATCAATTTGTAGTCTGAGTTAGGTTTCGAAAACCCAATAAAATTTTTGGTATCAGAGCAATAAAAGAATTAAAACACAATGATGTTAAGAATGTACTTAAAAGGAGAAGTAAAGTTTTGTAAGCAACAAATAGATATAATCTCAAAGATTATAAAATTAGAAGGGATGATCCCTTATAAAATTGATGAATTATTATGGGAAAGATATATTTTTGAAGAAAGAGCAATAGCTCTAGAAGAATTAAAAATCTTAGAAAAATAAAATAAAAATTAGTTCTAAAACAAAATTAAATTTAGGGATTAAAGTGTTAATTTAACAAAAAAAAAAGTTGAACTTAACAGTCAAGACCGTGAAATATTTGGTCAAAGGGCAAAAGCCCTTGATCCCAATAAGTTAAGTTAAAGGGTGAATAATCATGACTTATAAATTAAAGAGCAAAATCTCTTAAACTCAAAAAGTTAAAGGGCAAAGCATAGGTATATGCCCAAGATAAACAAGGTAACACTAGCTTATTTTTTATTTTTTATTTTTGGGAAAAGCAAAGATAATAAGGTAGTTCTTGCTAATCACCATAACTTCTAGTTCTATGTTTTAGTCATCCTCCCTTAA